ATGTGATGTTACACGAACGTGGGTTTCCGGTGGGAGGAATGAAAACCAAACTTCTCGAATTGTCATAATATTCCTTTCATTGTTCGAATGCCTGTGGACTCTCATATTCATTTATCGCGACGATACCTTTATAATTAAAAATGCAACAATTAATTATTATTCTAGAAATATATATATATATATACAAAAAGAAAACGACCTTTTTTTGCCTTTTAACCTTTATAAACTGTTACAGCGATCTTTCAAATCCCTAACTAAACTTCTTTTAGTTTTTTTTTAAATTATTTTTTCTTTTTTACTGATATATTAATTATAGTTGAAATATCCCGAGTCGAAATTTTTCCCTCCTTTCACCCTCGATTTTCTCAGCCTCTTTTCAGCCTGAAATAATGCGCTTATTTCCAAATCTGCATGTTTAGAGGTTGAAAAGAGATCTTGGAATTTTTTCTTAATTTGAATTTTTCGAAGTTTTATTCCTCCTAAAAGTTTTATAGTATTACGACAAAGACCAATAAATATATCTTCAATAGGGTCAATAAATAATGTCCATAAGAAAAAAAATCCAATTTTTACATTTTTTTAATTTTATTTTTTCGTTTTTTTTGTTTTTTTAACCTCTTTTACGCCTCTCTAGTCATCTTTAAACCCTCCTTTCAGTCTCCAATATAGCAGATATTTCCACTTTTGCAAATTCGAGGTCGAAAAGAGGGTATGAAAGTGTTGGAGAGAATAAAAAGAGGATAAAAGGAGGTTTTTAAAGAACTTATAGAGAGTCTAAATTTCGACTCGGGATGTTCATAAATTTGACAAAATCGTTTCTTATACTGTAAGAAATTTTTAATCTTCATCCAAATGCAACTTTTAATTATTCAAAGTGTTAAAAATAAAATTGCTAACACTTTTATTAAAAACTATTACTTTTTCATTAAAAATATGAAAATTTGAAGTTGGACTAACTTTAGTTTTGACAGTCAATCCGATTCTTTCTTAAATTCAATTTTCCATTAGAATTTCATATTTAAATTTTAAAATATACTACAAAATAGGTAATAAAGAAAATTCTATTACATAAAATAAAAGAAATGATAAAAAATTATTAACATAAGACAGATTTGATTATGACTATACTCAGAGGTCTGTTTAGCATTCCGAAAGTCTCGTCGTATTTTGTATTACAATATGCATATCTGCTCTTCCTATACAGGATTCTTAATGGTTACGTCGATATACTATCTAAAATTAATTTATCTGTTCCTCCTAAATCTTTTAGAAACCATCTAATATTTAAAATAAATCATCATGTACATCTAATTTCGATATGAATTCCATTTATGATATATAGGGAGGCAAATTTGCATTGTATTATACATCAGATTTTTTTCAACTCTTCATTAAAAGTATTCACTATAGTTTCTTCATAAAAAGTAACATTTTTTGAAAAACTATGTATCCTAATCAATTCTACATGCAAAATTAGGATTTCATGTCTATTTCTGCCATAGGATTTCAAAAATTAACAAATATTTTTTGGAAATAATTTTTATTCTTAAACTTAAACGAAATATATGTTTCATATTCATATATGTTCCACTTTTCCACTCTTTTTTACTTTAGTTGATAACACTCGGTAATAGCGCTTCTTGTATTTTTCACACTTTTTCTCTAATTCCTTTATTTTATCATCTTTCAATTTAATTTCTGCGAGACGCTGCTTTCTTATTTTTTTTACTTTTTTTCTGAGCCACTTGACGCTTTAAGGAATTCGAGGGTGTTATATCAATTTTTTTCATTTTTTGGTTTTGTCTATAGCGAGATGAACTTTCTTTCCACTTTTCTCGTTTTTCAGTCTGATTCTGAGGTGATCGTTGCACTTTATTCTTGTACCATAATTTTCGTTTTTCCAAATATTCTGCTCTTTTTGCGGGATCTTCATTGATTTTTGCCATCCGCCTTCTCGCAGCATTTTTCCTCTTGCACCGCCGCTCTTCCTCTTTATTTTTGAAATCCGGAATTTTATCTACCTTCCGCATTATTTGTACATTTTAATCTGGAAAGAAATAGCGAAAATAATTGCTGGAACTTTGTGGAAAACTATATGGAGTAATTTATGATAATTTATGACACATTCTTAAAAATTGAAAATTTATAGAAATTTATTAAACAAAATTTAAATGATCCATTTTTGAAATTTATACTGTAATTAACAATCAATTATCTAGCAAAATTAAAAATTGAAAAAAAATCGGAAATTTATGGACATTTATGCTGTAATTAACAATCAATTATTATCAAGCAGAATTAAAAATTGAAAAAAATTTTTTCGGAAATTTATGTAATTATTTATTACCTACCTAAAGTTCAATGTTTAAAACAAATTGTTTTGCTTCACTTTCTATGTGCACTTATAGACACTTCAGTGATACACGCCGTTCAATGGAGAAGCCTTACCATGGCAAAAAGACTATTATATACCATGTAGATGAGGCCATACCATGACGCACAAGAAAAACTGATTTTTTCAACAATTTATTATCGATTTTCAATCTGTTTCATATGCATGTTATTTATATTCACTGAACTAATACTACTACACTTCAGTTGACATAAAATATAAATAATTATTAATTATATTGAGAAATATTTGAAGGCTATACCATGACGATTCTGTGATTCCCTATGCACATTTGATGTGAAAAATAAAATAAATTAATTCTAAAAGCAGTTTCCCTCTTAGAAATTAAGTAATTCGCTTAGGAGAGCTTATTGTTGCTTTTAACTAATGTTGAGTGAAGTTTCGATTTGATTTTTATGTAAAAAAAGTGCTATTTTATAAAAAGGCTATACCATGACGCAAAAACGAGGGACAAGAATTAACACCAAAAAAAATTAAATAATAGTATATTGTGCATCATAGGGAGGAAAATGGTTGATTTCCACGAGTGTGAAGTTTGCAGTTCGAAGTGTAGCGAGTACTTGCGCGCAAAGATGAGAACTGTAAACACACGAGCTGGAAAACATTCTCCTTCCGAGTTGCACATACTATTTTTTCTAACACACTTATACCGAAAGTACAAATATTCAATAAAACATTGAACACAATTATTAATTTCTTAATGAAACTTTAATAATATTTTGTCGAAAGTTTACAAAATAAATTTTCGTAAATTGATAACCTGTCAGTATATTAACAATTTATATTACAAAACAAAATAAAATTCTCCATTTCTATCTATCAGTAACAACACCGGAAGGGAAAGTTACTTTCCCTCCCGCTCGCCGGAAAAGACATACTTTTCTCTCGCTACAAAGGTAAGAAATGATGCACTTTCGGTGCGTGTGTTAGAAAAAATAATTTTTTTTCACAAATGCTTTGTTTTTTACAATTCTACTAACATAAACAATACGAAACTATCAATAGTTTTTATATTGATTACTATATTTTACTAAAAATAACAACATTTTTTTTATATAAAAGTGGTACTGGGGACAGGTCATACCATGACGTTTTGGCACCTTAAAACAGCTTTTTAAGCTAAATTATAAACTTTTAAATAAAAACGATTGTGGGCTTTTGTTTGTAAACATAGAAATTAGTTTTTCCCCTTGGATTTATTGCAATATGAGCAATTGATTTTTTAAAAAATACGGGGGACATTAAGTTGTGCGCTACGCATACGCGGAGAATCACCCATATATATAATTAGAAAAAAGTATTTTAAAATTCGAAACTTTTAAGAACATATTTTTTAAAATATTTATGCTAAAAAAAATTCTAAATTTTTGCTTGTAAACAATAATTGTCATTAAAAAAATTTATAAATTAAGCTTTATAATTAATTATATTAAAAATACAATTTTTTTTTTTAATTATTTTTTAAAACATATATTGTAGTTAAATTATTACTTTTTAAACTAGTTTCACGGCTTAAAAAGTTATTTTATTTAAAAATAAAAAATTTAAAAGATACAAAGCGTTTAATAGTATTCAGAACAAATTTTTGTTACGACTTTTATCTTTCAAAGAAAAACATTTTTTAATTGAACAGAAAATTACCATCAGAATAAGCTTTAAAATATTAAAATTGTAAATTCTCACAACTATCTAATTGAAAACCCAACAAAATCGCTTTCTTTAGATCATATTTGTCTCAGAATTTTATTTGATTTTAAAAAAAGGAAGAGCAAAATTGTACTTTTTATATTTCTTACATTTTAAGCTTTCCAATTATCTCAAAAAATAAATAGTCTCATATTTCCTGACCTTTTGCGTATAAATTTAAAAATATAAACGACAATTAATAATTCATTCAAACATTGACTCATCAAAAACTGAAAACTCCCAATTTTGAAAACCTTGATTTCCATGTTGACAAAAGTAAAATATAAATGCTTATTTCGAAATATTAAAAAAATTAAATTAGTTAATAGAAAAAGTGTGAAAAAGTGAATAAATATTTATTTGTTGATAGTCAATAGTCTACAATTATTTGAAATTAATAAAAAAAACATTTCAAGTTGAATATTGAGAATTTTAAAATGAATACTTACGACAATTTTGAATATTTAAATTTAATTAAATAAATGTCTATGAGGCATTTTACGTGAAATGTCCTAAGTTAAAAAATTGATTTTTCGAAAAAAAGTGAAACTTGGGGAAATTGTTGTCCTACCTGATAGTAAAATATCCCCAAAAAAATTTTTGACCTTTTTGAAATTTTGGGGGAGGACAACAATTTCCCCAAGTTTCACTTTTTTGGAGAAATCAATTTTTTAACTTAGGACATTACACATAAAATGCCTCCTATTCTAACTTATTTTGATCAAAAGAAAATATATTTAACTATGATCATAGTAGAGAAAGGCGCTAAAAGTCTAAAGAAAACGATGACATTATCTACACAAATGAATCACGAGCAAAAAATTATTTCCTCAAACAAGTTTTCAAATGAGTTAACTTATTAATATTAAATTTTTATTAAATGATATTTAAATGAAGAAAATTAAAAATTTGAAAGTTTTTTTTAATTTTCGTAAATTTTTTACAATTTTTAATTATTATTATAATAAAAATTACTTCATTTTGTGTGCATTAAAACAACACACAGTTATAAATTCATTTCATTTAATAATGAAATAAAATATTACTAATATACAAACTTAAATAAAAACAAAAATATTATTCAACCTTAGCTTTTTTAGTTTTTCGAATTTCTTTGAGTTTTTCCTTTTCCGCGTTATCATGAATGCGTCTCTTTTTCCTTAAAAGCCAAATTTCCTTGGCTCTATCTTCTCGACCTTTCATCATACTCTTGTACAATTTACGATGTTTTTTCTTCACCATTTTTTCACGAAGTCGATACTCCTGTCTTTCCTGACGATCCTTCTCCCAAGGAACCTCTTTAACAACCTCACCTGCCTTCGTCTTCATTTTCTTTTTCTAAATAGATTGAAACAAACAGAAAAGAAAAAAAGAAAATGTGAATCAATTACAAATAAAAAATTTAATCATACTGTAAACTATATTTAAGCACCCACCTTCAATTTCCGTTCTTGTTCCCGTTCATTCTCTTCCTTTTCATCTTCCGTGTCAGACTTATTTTCTTCATTATCAGCTACTTCGTTCGTGCTTTCGTTGACTTCCGTTTCTTTCTGCTCTTTACACGCATCTTCTTCTTCCTCCTCCTCCTCTTCGTCATCGTCATCTTCATTTTCTTCCTCGACTATAAAATTATAGGTATTAGAATTAGAAACACGAAATAGAATAATTAGATTCTAGTTCAATATTGAATGGCTGAACTTACGATTATGAAGTCGATACTCGGGATCCATGAGTACTCGTTCTTCAGGTGGAATGTAAGTTTGATCTCGTCGATTGTCTGTGAAGGGCGAGAGATGAGGCGGAAGTACTGCACCCATTAAATATTTTTCTACAGGAAGTAATTCTCGTGCGTTTACAGAATCGAATATCCATTGAGGTTGAACGTAATATCTGAAAATTGATCAATTATTTTATCTAAAGTTTCATTTATTTCATATGTACATTTATTTATGAAAACTATTTTCTTTCAATTTTCCAAAATAAAAGTCTCGGATTATACGACTTTTTCGAATTTTTTTTACATCAAATTTGTAACTAAAATTCTCCTCTAATTTAATTATTTTCAATAATTTTAATGAAATTTTTCACAAATTCAATTACCTTTATTTATTTTTCAATTAAAAATTTTATAAAATTCAATAATTGTTAAATTTTTTTTAAAAATCAGCAAATAAAATTACCAAAAATTCCAATTCTAAATAACTTAAAATTCAATTATTTTCAAAAATTTTAATTTAAAACCTTCTAAAATTTTTCATCTAAAGCTTTTTGCGATTTAATAATATGAACTATAACTCTTTCAAAATCAAATTATTTTTAATCTAAATTTACTTGATAAATTATTTTCAATTCTGTAAAATTTAATTATTGTTTGAAATTTAACAAAATATTTTGAAATTCAATTATTTTAAAAAATTCCAACTGTAACTTTTCCAAAATTCAATTTATTAAAAATAATTTTAATATTTCTTTAAAAATTCAATTATTTAAAAAAACTTTTAATAAATAAATAAAAACTCTAAAATTTATTTATTGTCAGACATTTAAAAAAAAACTGCAGCAGTTTAAATTTGCAGAAAATTTATTTCAAATTCAAAATCTTCTGCATTTCACTTATTCTTATTAATGAATTTATAAATTGAATTTAATATCTAATAACATCAGTTATTTAAAGTAAAATATTTATTAACTAATTAAATTTAGTTAAAATAGAAATAAAATAAAATAAATTATGTTAGTAGAAAAATTCCTCTAAATACCCATTTACAGTCTTCACTTTTTTTACAAGTCCTCATAATTAGATTAAAATTAAAGTTTAATATTTCTCAAGTTAAGAATTAAAAAAAAAATTAATATTAATTTGAAAAAAAACTTTCGATTTGAAATTAGCGAAATTAAGCGAAATAACTTTTACTTTTTTCTATTTATGGCTTATGAATAGCCACTTGTATTTTTTTTTTTTTTTTTTTTTACTTAATTAGTACCTTTTTACGAAAGGGTTCGTCTGAACCTGTTTATGTTTTATAAATCAATAAATAAACATTTACAATACCTGGACAAATATTCTTTATCAACACTCGGCCTGTCTATAATTTGATGTGTAACACTTTCATCGCTTTCATCAAAAGAAGCACCAACAAAAAGTAACTTATCCCAAGAAACTTCTCCTCCAAAACAACGAATGATAAAAACTAATGGCTCCCTTGGCACTTCGCGATTTATATAAATTTTCAATCCTTTGAATAAAGTTTTTAAATGCTTCAGTTTTTCAGCTTCTTTTCTAGCTTCTTCTTGCGCTGTGGGATCTGCATCCTGTTACAAAAGTCAAACGAGATCTATTAATACCTTAAAATTTGTAAAGACTTGCAATTTAATCACTATTGAAGACTTTTTACCTTCGAAAAACTGTCAATCTCTATTTCTTCTTCTTCGTCTGCAGTTTGTGCGCTAGAATTTGCGGGAAGTAGAGAAACATTTAGAGCACTTATTCTTTCTGACACAAATGCCTCTTCATCGACCAGGGCTTTGACATTGTTTTCTAAAAAAATACATATATTACATTTTTTATTAAACATCTAAATTATGAAGAAATTAATATTCTTTTAAAACAAGAAAATAAAAAAATGGAGCAAAATAAATTTTAAATATGAGAATAAATATAACAGAAGATAAAATAGTATTATTCAATAAAGGAAAAAAACTGAAAACAGATATAAAAGGAAGAAATTTCTATGAGGAAGCAAAGTATTCATAAAATGGACACAAAATATTTACTTGGCAGCTGTTTTTTTTAATTCTTGAAACATTAAATTTTTTTTACGAATTTAGATGCATTAAAAGAGGGAAAATTTATTGTTTCAATAAATTTTTAATATGTAAACGTTAAAAACTTTTATGAATTCAAATAAATCTATTTTGAAATTCAGATCTCGGATTGATTTTAAACAGCAAAAAAAATCTCGAGTGGCGAGATTTAAGCAAATTTGATCAATTAATAATTTTTATTCTATATTTATACAATCAAATAATTAACATTATCTCCAAAATTTTAATCAAGTTATTTAAATTATAATTAATTAATCAAGAAAATAATTAAAATTATCTGTAAATTTCAATTTGAATCAAATAATTGGTGTTATAATGAAAATTTGAAGTTTATAATAAAGTTTATATAAAATTGCCAAAAAAGCTTGAAAATTGGCATTTTTTTTTTAGCAATTTGTCAACTTTCAGATATTTTTGGCCTGAATTATATTTTAAATATTTTTTCTCTGCTTGCGATATTAAAGAGTATTAAATTCTGCTTTCCTATTTCACTAGAATGCATTAAAAATTTATTTATTTATTTAATAATTAAATAAATAAATAAATTTTTAAAAATTAATTAATTTGTAAGATTTGAGTACCACTTTTTGAATACAGCGGTATTTGTTTTTACTATTTGTAATATCAAAGAAATAATGTAAGGTTAATGAAGATAAAATTTAAAAAACAAAATTCCACTCTGTTAAATAATAGATAAGTACTTAAATCTTACAAATTTCAACCACTTTTAACCTTTGAAACGTCCGAGAATTTTTATTTCTTAAAATCCTCTAAAATGTCCATTATAAACTTTATGGAAATAAAAAATAGAATATTTAACTTTTCTTTCAACATAGATTTTGTCAAAATCGGAGACAACGTGTTTTCAGATATTTAGAAGTTTAACCTTCAAACTAAATTTTTAATGCTTTAGAAATTTCTCTTTCGAAACTATTTAATTAAATAGGCGAAATAATTATTAAAAAATTGTCTTATATTGGCAATTGTTTACTAATGGTGTAATTTTAAAATAGAATGCCCCATAATAAATAATAAAAGAAAATCTTACCAATAGTATTGAACTTTGGTGGATAAAATAAATTCAATGAATGATAGAGTCTGAAGTTAACGAAACCAAGCATAACGATGTAAAATTCAACAAAAGTTGACATCACTTTAAAATCCACTTCATTCTTCTTTTGTGGTTCAAATGAAAAATGATGAGGCACAATCCAAGTTATTGTTTGACCTTTAATTTCAGCTTGATAATAATAACCTTTAATGGAAACAAACACTTTTTTAATTGCTTTTGCTGCAATCATAGCGTGCATAAATTCGACGGTTAATCTTCTACACAAAATACTCTGGTCCCTTGGAACATGTGGCATCGATGGAAATGTACTGAATAGAAAACAAAGTGTAAGACAATCGTCTAAATCCCTTAAAGCATCGATAAACGTTGGATAACGTTCCTTCACAATATGATCTATTTTCATTGTTGGATGATTTCTCAAGTAACGTTTCATTTCCGAAAAATCTTTCATTGCTCTTGCACGACCTACTTTTTTATTAAAAATCTGAAACAAATTGTTTTTCATTTATTTTACAATATATTCTTCATTTTTCTCAATTTATTAATATTTAAAAAAAAAACATGTTTGGAAAATATTTTGTCTTTAGAATCGTACAAATTATTATTGACTCAAAAACATTATTCTTGTTTTTGTTTCTTAATTTTCATTTTCATTGAAAAAAATTGATTTTAAGTCTTTTGTCGGAAACTTATTACTTTTTTTTAACAAATTAAACAAATTAAAAAAATTTACAAGAATATATTTTTGTAACATTAATCAGATAAATTTAATTTCGATTGAAAAAAATATTTCGTTTGGATTAATATTATTAATAAATAAATAATTAATAAACCTTATAGTCACGTAATTTCCAAATAATTGGTTCGTGCATTAAAAATTGTATGTCCTTTTTGTGATATAAAATTTTTATTCCTGGTTTCCCCTTTTGAGCTCGTTTTCGATTGCGAGGCTCTCTCGGATAAATTCCTTTGATAATACATAGTTTTCGAAAATCATTGAGAGAAAGTTGTAATTTTTTAAGAGCTGATTTTCTTGTCAAAAATTGTGCCCCTTCTCCGGATTTATACTGAAATTAAATAAATAATTATAGTGACAAGAAAGACTAACGTTTTAGTATATTTACAAAAGCCATTCAATAACATATTTTTAAGATTAATAAGTATTATACTTCTTTGTATTAAAAAAAAAAATGTTTTAAATACATCAAACTTTTATTATTACTTTAAATTTTTTACTTTTTCTTTAATATCTTTAATAAAAGGTGCTAATAATGCAAAATGAGAATAAAATAATCTAACCTCAAAGAATAAATTTTTGTATTTTATGATATACAGAATTATAAGTACTTTGAGTAACATACCTTTTTCTTTCCTATGACAACCATTGTAGCAGCTCTTAATATTTATTAAAATAATCAAAATTTATTATTGTAATTAAAAATAGAACATGTTTTACTCTTAGACTTTCTTTGAGAAGAAATTGTTCCAACACGTGCTTTTGTGAGTAACAAAACTGTCATGGACGTTATATGTAAAAGTAAAGTTAGGTTAGTTTACTAAAACCACTAAATTTAAAAAAAGAAATGAAATCTTCTTTTTAAATCTTGAATTCATTAAATTATTTGATTAGTTTTTAACTAAAATGACAATATTTATAAATTCGTTGAATTTTTTAATTCATTATAAATATATAATAAATTGTGTATAAATATAATATGTGTATAATCCTGACTGTACTGTAAAGTGGGTTGTCTTCTGTCAGGCGTTATTATTTGTGTAAAGTAGAAAATAAATAAAAAAAATTTTTACAGTTGCTATGTTTAACTTTATATGAATGTGCATCGAGAAAAAAAAATAATTTATCACGAAGATAATGTGAAAAGAGCAAAGAAAATTTAAAAAAGAAAAATGAGAAAAGAAACTAAAAATTTAAGAAAATAAATTTAAATAGAAATTTTTTTAAAAGTGTTATTAAATTAATTTAAGAGTCATTCCATTATATTTCGAACAATGTCGTTGCCGACTAATTTTTAAAAATTATGATACTTTGCAGGGATGATCTTGAAGTTATAAAGATCACGAAATGAAAAGATTTTTACTAAAATATATTTAATATTTTACAAAAATTTTTCCGTTTTACTGTAAACAAGTTATTCAGTTTCAAAAATCGCAAAAATTAGCAAAGTGGCAATTTTCTTTTTCAAAATTTTTATATAAATAAAGAGAAAAATTAAAAAGTACAAAGAAAATCTAAAAGTTAATAGCAATGACTTGATATTTGGTAAGTTTTTTTTTAATTTAATATTTACCCTTTCTCATAATTAATCGATAAAAATAGCAAAATTAGGTTATTTTTAAGATGAAATTGAAAATCATGTTTTTCCTATTATTTCATATCTTTAAATGCTTAAATCAATTTATAAAAGTAAATTTAGTCATTCTTAATAAATTGCAATAATAATTTTCACACTTTTATGGTAAATTATAGGTTTTTTCGAATATTTTCTGCTGGCTGAAAAACTGTCAATTTTCAGCACCTCGTACACTTTAAATTCATATTTTAAAGTAAATAATAAAAATTTTAGTAAAAATCTTTTCATTTCGTGATCTTTATAACTTCAAGATCATCCCTGCAAAGTATCATAATTTTTAAAAATTAGTCGGCAACGACATTGTTCGAAATATAATGGAATGACTCTTAAAAATTTTGAAATAAATTTAAATTAAATAAAAAATAAGTCTTTATGTCAATTTATTTTAATTTAAAACTTTTTAAACCAACAATTTAACATTTTAGTTTAATTATAAAAACTTTTTAGTAATTTAAGAGCATACGAATCGAATTATTTCAATGCAATAAAAATTGCTTATTAGATTTTTATTCTTACAATTATTAAAATTATTGATTAAATTATTTAATTCTTTCCCTTCAACTGTTTTTAGTCACATATTGAATTTTTATTTATTATACGGGTTATAAAACTAATTTGGTATTTATAAATTATTAATAACTTTTTGAAGAAAAAATAGTTTATCTATAACTTTATTATTTATTTATTTATTTTATTTATTTATTAATAAAACTATTCTTTAAAAATAAGGTCTTTTTTTATACTGTATTATAGTGCCTAAAATTTGTCATAATCAATTCTATTTATTTTCTGAATTTAATTTTTTCAAAAAATAAATTTCAATGCAATTTTATTTATTATGGTAAAATATTTATTTGAACTGTTTAAAAATGTCTAATAATTGAATAAAAATATTGCTAATTGAGAATAAGATAATTAATAATAATTAATAATAATAATTGCATTTCATATGAGAATACGGGGTCATGTCTCGGATTTTTCTCAAAATTCGGTAAATTGTAGTGATAGTGCTGCTAAATAAGTGTAAAAATTTTGAATTTGAAATTTTTAATATTTTTCGAGATATTTACAATAACAAATTAGAGTAATATTTTTTTGTTTTACTTATAACTGTTTCCCTTCTATAAATAGAGAAAAATGTTGAGAATGTTTTTTACGCAAAAGACCTTAAACTTTTATAAAAAAATTATTTTTTTTAAAAAAAATATTAATTTTTAAACAATTTGTTTATAACTTTTAAACATGTTCTCCCTCATTTTTAAGCGCGAAAAAAATCATGAATATTGTTTAAGTCATAATAAATCGATGGTTAAATTTTTGAGATGGCATTATTTTTTGTTTTCAAGATATTAACTAATTAACTAACAAGAGTTAATAAATAATTAAATATTTTACGAACAAATAAAATGAGAATAATTTTAAAAATACCATTCCAATGCTTATCGAAATCCGCATCTAACGAGCCCTATATGAACTATTTTGGATAAACGGGTGTTAAAATAATAATTAATAGGTAATAAAAATTATTTAAATAATTAATAACTTTTGAAGAAATGAAGATAAATCGTGAATTTTTTTTATTTGAAAGATCATCTAATTCTGTGTCAAATAAAAACAGTGTAAATTGCAATTTCAACAATCCAAATTATATAAACAGATGATTATTGAAAATCGTTGTCTCAACACCTCACGGCACAACTCGGCATGATATTTTTCAGTCTTTCTTTAAATAATATTTTATAATTAATTTTCGATTCTTAGTAATACTTAATATTCTTTTTTTGACTCAGAATTAGATGATCTTCAAAAAAAAAAAATTTCACGATTTATCTTCATTTCTTCAAATGTTATTAATTATTTAAATAATTTTAATTATTAATTATTAATTTAACATCCGTTTATCAGAAATAGTTCATATACGGCTCGTTGGATGCGGATTTTGATAAGCATTCTAATGGTGTTTCTCAAATTACTCTAATTTTATTTGTTCGTAAAATATTTCATTTTTTATTAACTTTTGTTAGTTAATTAATTAATATCTCGAAAACAAAAAATAATGCCATCTCAAAAATTTAACCATCAATTTATTATGACTTAAACAATATTCATGATTTTTTTCGCGCTTAAAAATGAGGGAGAACATGTTTAAAAGTTATAAACAAATTTTATTTTAATATCTCGAAAAATATTAAAAATTTCAAATTCAAATTTTGTACACTTATTTAGCACTACTATCACTACAATTTACCGAATTTTGAGAAAAATCCGAGACATGACCCAGTATTCTCATATGAAATGCCTCAATTATATATTAAGTGTTTTTGAAGATTTCGGGGAAAAAAAAAATTTACAAAATGACACCACATTTTATCCTTGATTCATAAAGCAGATTAAAAAATCTCTCTTCTTAAAAGATACGGTAAATTATAATTTTATTGATTCTCGATAAGCATGCATATAATACCTTTATTTACTTGTAGGCATATTGTATATCACTTATCTGAGTTAAACAATTCTGTTTACTATGTGTGGTTCATATATAATCATTACATCACAAAAGAGCTGATTTAAGAGGAAGTTACCCTTTCTCGACAGTGAAAAATTCAAGATGTTTGAGAATTTTTCTTTAATATAAACAGAAAATTTTATTATTTTTTAAATTTTATTTATTTTCTTTTTATTTGAAATTGAGCCAAGTTGATGTTTTCATAAATGAAAATTATAAATATGCTCACATTTTTTGACACAAAAAAAAATCGGCTCCAACTTCCGTTAAACACGTTAAATCTTCAAATGATGTTGCAAGTTTATATTATTAAACAAGAAATTGTAAATACTTTCTTTTTAATAAAATAATTTTTAAAAAAATTTTACTTTTTTTCAAAAAGCATTTTACAAAAAAATGGCGATTATTTGAGAAAATTTCAATTATTTGTTTTAGAAAAATGCTTTTTTAAAAACTCAATTTTCTTTCATTTAAGCACAAATTCATGAAGATCGGTTATTATCCATTGAAGCTGTAGAGCTTCAATGCAAAATATAGAATTTTCTTTATTCACATTGATATTCAAATTTTAATTTGAGTTGAACTAGTTATTTTTCAGATTAAATTTGAAAAATCCATTTTCTCTTATATTGCCATATAAAAATATATAAAATCAACAAAATTTCTTAAACATTAAAGGTAAAATTATAATATAATATTGATTACATATATACGCGAGAAATATTGATTTTTGCGAGAGAAAAAAAATTAACAGAACTTTAAAGTTATATAGCACAATTTCAACTTTTATTATACTTACGTCTCAAAAAAAAAAATTTATGAATGTTAATTTTGACGATAAACTTGTTTTGAAAGTTGTAAATCAAATTTTTATTGTACAAAAAATACTTTTTACTGACTCAAATGTAGCGCAATATTAATTATTGTAAAAAAGTATCATTTTTTTCATAAAAATGTAATTCAAGAATCTATAGTTTCTTTTTTTGAAATTTTTCATTTTTTTTACATTTTGTAATAATGAGAGGAAAATGAGAGGAAAGAAAAAAATGAAAAACATTAGATATTAACGCATGACAGAATGAAACCTTTTTTTATTAGTAACGAAGACACACGATATAAATTTTTTTTTTATAAAAGTATAAAAAATAAATAGCGACCGAGTGTCGCTCTGAGAGAAGATTATTGCATAATCATATTATTAATTGACATTCTGCGATTATAATCATACACCTAATTTGCTATATCACCCATGCACACACATCTTTGAGCGACTAGTTGAGATCAGATATGTTTTAAATTAAAGAAAATTTACCTCGAGTACCTCGAAACGTTTCATTGGTTTTATTTGCCTTCATCATATGTATGTACTTGGAAATATCTTCTAATATATACGCTCCAAGGCACCAACAACCTAACGATTCGAGCTTAATATGGAAATTTTCCTAATTAAAACGTGTCATAGAAGCGCAAATAAACAGGAGCATATATATTTATATAATTTATCTATTTGTTCTTTTAATAAACTCTATACATTCATTTCGCGCATATATTAACAAATTTCACTTCCATTTCACCATTTTAATCAGGATAATCAAATTTAAAATGAACATATTATTTTCATTCGTTGGAAACTTTTATTATATTTAAACGTCTAGAAAAATATTCCAATTTCATCTTTCTAGATTTAAATTTGATTTTTTTTTTAATTATAAATTTAAAACAATCAATCAATTTCAAGGTAAGATAAATTATAAATATAAATACAATTTGTGGTTTAATGGAAAGATTTAAATAGAATATTGAAAGTCTTTATCGGAAATATATTACATTTTCAAAAACATTGGAATTGAGTTTTAAAACATTAAAACTTTTGTTTTTGAAACATATTTTGATTGAACTATTTTTACTGTGTTTTTATAAATTATGCTTCAAACTCATAAGCGGTTAAATGGCTTTTTTTTGTTAAAAATTATTTTTTTAGAAATTAAAATTTTTAATTTAATAATTGTGATATTTGAATGAACATAATTTACCATACAAATTAATAAAAATTATTTAGATTTAAAGAAATTTTTAATTGACAAAAAAAATATATTAATAAAAAATTAATTTAATAAAAAAATATTACGCTAAAAAAAGAATTTTAAATCTTTTTTCAATACGGCAATTTCTGTCTCATTACCAAAGCAACCTATGGCAATTATTTCTGTTAAAAAATACAATATTTACCTGGTTACTAAGGTAACAAATAAATGTCATTAAAAAAAATAATATGCATTTTTAATCTAAGTAATAAAGCAGAAATTGCATTTTTTTAAAAATGCTATGTGTACATTTCTTTGGTAACACGATAGAAGTCGTCGTATTAAAAAGTATTTAAAAAAAAAATTTTTTTAAGTGTAGTTATAAGAAAAAAAAATTCTCGTTAATATTTATTTATAAATATATGCCAAAATAATTAAATAATTTATTAAATATTTTAATTTTATTTCCATCAAAGATTATTATTTCCTTAAAAAAAATTTAAATCCATAAAAAAAATTAATTGTATTTTCAAAGAAATATAAATTAAAATTAATCAAAAAATACTTTTTTATTTTATTAATATGTAATTTTATTTTTTCTCTTCTTAAATTTTGTGCTTTCATACTGAAAAATGTTCAATTAGTAAAAGAAAACAAAACACTTATTGCTTCAATAAACAAAAATTAATTTTAAAAAAATTTTTATTAAACTTTTAAACTTTTATTAAAAATTTTTTGCGCCACTTTGGAAAATTTTTTTAAGAATGTTAAGTACATCGTAAAAATAATAAAGTCTTTATATAAAAATATACAAATTTTCAGATTTAAACCATTAATTTAAAAAATTAAAAAAAATAATTTATATTTTAAATAAAAATGAAAAATTAAAATTCGAATATATATATTGTCAAATTTCTTTTTTCACTTTAAATTTGAAAAATTTTAACACATTAAAAATATTTGTGAAAAAAATTATTTTCCCAAAAAAAGGAAATTATATTCTAAAGTTTGACACACTTTTTGAATAATACTCTCCAAGTATAATGCAATTTACAACAAAAGAAAAAGAAATATATTCAATTCATCTAAACGTTTGATAGTTGAAGCACACTTTATAAAATAGGTTCAATAACATTGCATTCATTGAAAGCTGGAGTCACACATTATTACTGAATGGCACAGATTTCTTTTCCGTCCTTTGCACTTTGCGTGGCGGATGAGGCAAAAACTTGAACGCCTCCATTTGGCACAATGTCACAAATTAAAGTGACATCTTTAATAGTTTCTTTTTTTTCATGGCAGTCGCGTATATATACAATTCGCATATAATAGAGTGCAATTGATGACCTTGAAACACATGACGATTGGTGTCAACCAAAATGTCATCTACGTCATCATCAGATTAAATGTATTACATCTGCGATAATAATAATTCTATTTCTCATTTTTTCTTCTTTTTGTTAAAACTATTTTTTGTCAGTTTCAATAATAGATTTTTTAAACATCAAAAATTTTACATTGAAAATGTAAAAAAAAGAAATGTTTTTATTACTATTAATTTTTTTCTAAAAAATTATTTTCCAAATTGAATGTACAATTTTTTTTTTTCATTCTCATTGATTAATTTCCAGTTCATCTGGAAGTATATTAAATTATGCAATAGAATATGTCAAAAGAGTGTTTATTTTTAAGAGCACACCAGTCAATGATCGGAAAAGTAGAGAAACTAAAGTCAATGACCTCACCCTAATAAATTCGTAATTATTTCTTAATTAAGGATTTCAATTACAATTATTGTTATTGTGCGCATCAATTCTGCGAGTGACAGTAAATTTAAGTTGATTAATAATTCTTTTAATTACATATTCCTATAGAGGGATTAAAAATTTTATATATAATTGAATAATTTTTTTTTTTTCTTTTTTTGAATTTAAATCATTTTTTCACTGGCTTAATAATTTTTTATTATTATAATAAACCAACAAATTTTAATCAAGAAACTACATTAAAGTAGTTTACACTATATTTGAAAATTTTAAAAATACAATAAAAATCGTGCGCTACTTTTTTAAGAAAACAAAATTGAAACTGACGAATGTTTTTTTCAACAAAACAATAAAATCGCAAGTCGATAATGATTACTTTTATCGTAATCACCGAGGTTACAATATTATTTTTATTTCACGCTATTTTCGAGTTTTTAAACAATTTTTTTGTTATTTAAACAATCAGTAATCTTATTGGACCTGACAAAATGTAATTTATTACTTGACTATTTTTTTTTTTTTTTTTTTTTTAAAAGAGTCGAATAATTTTTTTTGCATTATGACTAGCGACTTTTGGATGAAATTTCTTTTTCAAGCTATTTTAGTAGCTTAAAAAAATGTTCTTTACAATATTTTTTTTTTCGCACATACATATAGTAGAATCGCGAAATCAGTCTTTGGTACTCGTATAATCTTCGCTACGAGACGTAAAAATGAAATCTTCGTCTTTCTCAAGTTTTCGATATCTTATAATTAAATCACTAGCGTCCGCTTTTAGCGTAACGGAGATTTTTTGACTCTTTATATATATATAAAGATGTTTCCACCGATATGCTTTCGAATCATGTAATTTTTCTCTAAAGTCACTGCTGCACTATCACGATTTCATTTCCAAAGATATAGGAAATTTTTTTTTTCTTTTTTTTTGCTTTAGAGTTGCGATTAATCTCACTTCTTTCCTGGAAAAATTTTTCACTGCTATTTATAGATCTTTGGCGAGATACATATATATATAATATACGTATTTTAAAATTTTTCATAAAGTGAAAAAATTCGAGAGAAATAAATCGCGTGATTTTTGTTTTTCGATGACAATTTTCAAGTTATTTTATTGAAATTTGTCTCTTGATATTTTCTCATTTGAAAATAGGCCTCGTGCTTTGAGTCCTAATTTCTCGCTTCTTTATATCTTTCTTTATATCAGAGTGTAAAGGGAGATTCGACACTTTCGATGCCTCGAGAGGGTTTTTTTTTTCTTTGATAGGGTCATCCTCTTTCAGAGGATGATCGTATGGATTCCCTACGCTGGCACCTGATTCACATTATTGTGAATGGGTACAGATATCACGTAAATATCAAGCTTCTCGCCTGAAGCCTTATCAGTGAGATCGGCATAATTAATTGAATCGTAGGGCGGAGGTGCAAAAAGATGATAAGGTGGCGGTGGAGTCTCGGCAACTCCTTGAGTTCCGCTAATGACCTCACCGCGTTGAATGTAAGGTACGCTTATAGGCCTTGCATTTCTTCGACAACACCACTCGGAGCAGCTGACTATTAGGAAAAAAGCCACCAAACCACCAAATGATCCAATGTACCACACTATCGACCATGGATCGAGGGGACTTTGAGTTTCTCCATAAACTGCAAACAAAAAAATAGAAGAAAAACATTTTTACATATTGAAATTATATCACTCGGTGCTTTCTAAATTTAAATTAGTGAGATTTCGTTCGCTAATTTTTTAGTAAAATATTACTATTTAATTTAATAATATTTTTTTTTTACTAAAGTTTTAGTGAAAAATTGGTAGAAATTTTCATTAATTTTAAATTATTGAACGAATTCTCACTAATTTAAATTTAGAGACTGCGGAATTTATAATAATTAAACTACATCGATCAATCCGAGTCAAAGTAGAAGTAAAAATCACAGTTTAAAATTAGAAACAAAAAATTTTTTAATTTGTATATTTTATCATTTTTGTAAAAACATCTTCTTGGATATTTATTTATAATTTTATTTTTTTTATTAAATTTCTAGTCTCTCTGAGATGATGACGTTGAGACATAAAAAAGTATGGTTTTTATTTTTACTTTGCCAAAATTTTTCGAACTTGTTTTTTTAATGTATCTTTATGTTTTTCGACTTCAGGATTTCAAAAATCACCTTAAAAAAAAATGATTCATTGTTATTCCTTAAAAATAATTAGTTACACCCAGAGAAATGTTTTATTTGAACCAAATATAATATATTTGAGTTAAACAAACGTATATTTGTCTCAGAGCCTATTAGCCCATTTATTTGGCGTAAATAAAATTTTTATTGGAATCAAATAAAAATTTATTTAAATCAAATAAATATTTATTTGAATTAAATAAATTTTTATTAGGCTCTGAGACAAATATATTATTTCTCTGGGTGTAAAATTTTCAATTTCAAGAATTTTATTAAATATATAATTATTTTTTCGACAAATTTTACTTTATAGAATTTTTATTTCGCAGAATGCTTATTTTACAAAATTTCTCTATATTCACTTTTTTATTTAGTAGAATTCTATTTTAACCGAATTTTAATTTATCATAATTTTGTAAAATACGAATTTTTCAAAAAAAAAAATAAAATTCGGCACCTAAAAATTCTGAGAGGTAAAATTGTATATTTCAACTTGGCAAAAGGTTTTATTTTATCATATTTTGTCAAATATAATAATTTTGAAATTATATATATACCTAATATTAATTATATTTTATAAATTTTGATTTCATTAGAAATTTAATCGTTTTTATAATTTTTTCACAGTGTCACATATTCTGAAGGATATAGCAAATTAAAATAATAGGTTACCGCAAGGAAACCTAAAACCTTAAAAAAACCATAAACTTTCCCGAGCATAAAACGTTACTCCTTTTTCAAATAAGTATGAAAGTTGAGTGAATCTCAAAAAGAATAAATTTCCAATAAAAAAAAAGTCAATTTAAAAGATTAATTATGTATGTAGTTTATGTTCAAATTGAATAAGTCGTTTGTTACTTGTCTATATTATTAAAAAAAATTAATTAGTATAATAATAATAATAATAATAATAAATTAATAAAATATAATAAATTTTAATAATAGCCTATTATTAAAATTTATAATTCTATATTATTCTTAGAATAATTTTCTTTTTTATTTTTTATGTAGTTGATTGAAAAGAATCTGTTTTTGAATAATTTTTATTAAGTATAATATTTAAAAATATTTCTTAATTTCAAGATAAGAAAGACAGTAATAAATAATAAATATTATAAGTAAATTAAAAAATGCACAAGTAAAGCAATTTTGTCACGTTTTATATATAAAAATTTGATGTAATATATTTTTATCTTCTCCTAATTTAAAAAGACTTCGACACCTTATTTGTGAAAAAAAATGTAATATGTTAAAATCACATATCAGAAGCTTATTTAAATTATATATTTTAATTATAAAAGACCATTATCACTTAAGTATAAATAAAAAAAAAACAGTGATACTCACAATCGTTTATAATACGCATACATATTTTTGTGCAAAAGTTATCAAAAATTTTTATTTTATCAAGAAAAGAAATTGTGCAACGTCATTAAAGAAAACGTATGTTTATAATAATTGAAGTCATTATAGTAAATCGATTGAACTGATATTCATACGCATTTTCAAGCGCTTGAAACAATATATAAATTACTGAATTTTAAAAATATACTGCTAATTAAAGTGATAAGATGAAAGTCTAAAGAAGTTTAGTAGATACAACCTGTTATTATTTTTACTAATAATAATTATATTCACTTAAAGTGTGAATAATTTAGTGTCACTCTTTTATAAATGTTATCTAATCCAATTTTTTTTCGAGAAATTTCTTTACACTTTACATTCGTTATCAATTTATTATTATGATAAAAAATTTTTTTTCCAAGATTTTGGTATCAAAATTTGTAATATATATTTAAATATTGCCTAAAGCTTACAATGCAATATTATTCCATTATTACAATTTCATGTTGCCTTAATATTGCAATGGTAATATTGAGGCAATATTACAAACCAAATTTCATGCAATTGTACTATCTGTGGAAATTATTTTTAATTATATTTTTAATTAATTTAACAGTGAGCGGAAAATGCAAAAAAAAAAAAAAAATGATTCATTAGATTTTATGAATTATAAAATTTTACAGTTTCTACATATTTAAGAACATAAAAGCATTTGAATTGAGATTAAAGCCGTCGGGGGCAAAGACAAATGTCATGAAAAGACTTATATGAGATTACGACATGCTCACAAGTCACAACTAATTCACGAAGGAAGTGTATGACTCTAAGATGAAGATAATGATTGCAGCACGTGCAACGACCCTCCAGGGGTCACAGTCACTTCCATTTCTAATGATCATGTTCTTGGTCAAGAAATTGGCAATTTTGCTTAAGGGTCGCTCTGGTGAAGGATATCTTAATAATGTACATACATATATACAGTACATAGCGGAAAAAATCGACATACCAACTCTACCGTCTTTGCCTCTTTTTCTTGGTGCTTCATCCTTTTCATCTGGCTCGGTTTCGAATTCGATGACGTAAACTGTCTGCTCTTCCTTCGTTCGATTATTCGTCCCAGGCAACTCATCTTCAGTAGCAATTTGCTGTTTGGATACTTGATCACTATCTAATTCCTCGTCTATCATACTGTCAAAATTCGTCATTCCATGAGTAAATCCTGTAACAAGTTTAATATCTTACTCACACTTTTGTGGCGTTTATATCTATTTCATTTTTGCAAATTATTTTTTGTGTTTTCATTTTTTTAAAACTTCTTTTATGTAAATTTCAGATCTGACTTAACTGGGAGCATGATCATCCCACAAAAATAATTAAAAATTTTCAATTTCAAGAATTTTATTAGATATTTAGACAAATTTTCGAATTAGCCTTTAACAGAATTTATTTTTGAACGAATTTTTACTTTGAAAAATTTATAGGTACCGAAATTTTATTTGGCAAAATTTTTATTTCACAAAATTTCTTTTTACCCAATTTTTTTCTTTAAAAGAATTCTAATTTAATCGAATTCAAATTTAACATAATTCTCATTCAACAGAATTTTAAGTGATACGAATTTTTAAAATTTAAAGTTTCTAATTCACCGAATGTTATTTTGTTCGAATTTTTATTTGATAAAATTCTTAAAACGCTAAATTAACATTTATCCAAAATTGCAAATGGCCAAAAAAATAATCAACAGAAAGATTTCGGCATTATTTTTAAAATTTATGAATCAGGAATAATTAGCAAAAAAATCGTGATTGGTAAATTTTAAAAACAGCGCCGAAATCTTTCTATCGATTATTATTTGTTTGGCAATTTGTAATTTCGAATAAATGAAAATTCAAATGCAAACAAATAAAAATTTGGATAAATGAAGATTCAGTGAATTAAAAATTTTTACTTCTAAAAATTCGTATCACTTAAAATTTTATTAAATGCGAATTATGCGAAATTGAATTATCATATCCTGAACATTTTTGCTTCTTTTTCATAAGAGAAAAAATTATTTTAAAAAAATATTTAATTTTCTCATAAATCATTTAATTCGTTTTTAATTATTTAAATTGAGAAGTAAAAAAAAATTAAATTTCTTGAAGAATAAAAAATTGCGATTAATTATAAAAATTTCAGAGAAAATATATATTTCATATATAGATTTCTTTATTGGTTTCTAAATGTAAAATGTATTTTTCGAAACGAGCAATCATAAAATAATGTGAATTTGCAAACTTTATAGAAAAAAAAGTAATAATTTCATTTTTTTTTTTTTAAACGAATAATCGCGATTAATTCTACTAATTTCTATTAATATATAATATACAGGAATTGATTCCTTTTTCAAGGTAGAGTAGTTTCTATACAAAGAAAAATTGTTAAAAAATTAAAATTTTCGAAGTTATTGTACCTACTATTGTACTAATTCTGCAATTTTTAATGAAATCTATTCTTTATATATGTCAATCAATCCATTTCGATTCAAAGAATTTAATTTTTTTAAAAATTAAGATGCATTTTAAATAGCAAAAAAATGTGATGAAAAAACCGTATTTTTTAAGAAAAAATGAACTAAAAAAAATCAGCGACTTTAAAAACCCGCGAGTAGCGAGTGTCAAGCGGATCCGATGAATTAAAAAAAAAACAACTAAAATTAGATTAATTTAAGTAAAAAATTTTTAAACTCGATATTTACACAAAAAAAATAAAAAGTTTTAACAGTTAGAAAAATTATTCATACCAAATATCAACATTAAAGTAATTAAATGAAAATTAATGTTGATTTAGAAAAAATTATAACTATAAATATAAAAATAATTTATTTAACAATTAAAATTTTATTTTCGTTGTTTTTATAACCTTTTCTAACAATAAGACATTTTAAACATTTTAAATAAACGCGTTTTTTTCAACCAATAAGAGAGTTGTAGTAGCGCAAGCGCAGTTGTGGTTAGTGGCGGTTGGAAAAAAATAAAGGTGAAGAAAATGTTCGAACTAAAGGAACGTCATCAGCAAAAAGTATAGTTTTTCTTGAACATTAGTATTGACCTCATATTGTAAGTGATAACTCATTTTTAAATAAATATTTTTACACACATTATTTTTGTTACAAAAATTTTTAGTTTTATAATTTACTGGATTTATTTACTTATGTTCAATTAAACACGTGTAGTTTTCAAAAGCATAGAATTCTAACCTCAAAATCTCCACTTAATAGAGTGCAATAATGTATCAGGAATATAAAGAAAGAACTGGTACAAGAGATAATGGTGCTTTGATGAAAATAAGTGTTGAAAATCTCAAAACTTTCGAGGTAATAAAATTTAATTTTGAGTTTATTAATGAGTACAAATTTGTCATGTGTGCCAACATTTTTTTAATGGTCGAAAGTTTTTCATGCAAAATACACACACATTATTCTATATTTAAAAAAATAAATAAAAAATATAAGTTGGAACAGTTTTGTGAATTTTTAATATTTATACTAATTATTGCTATAACTTGTACACTTTTTGCACCTAATTCTTGTAAATGATTTTTGTATAAATAACGAGTAGAATGCAACAAAAAAATTAGGAAAGAAAAAATTATTTGTTTGTTTTAAATAAGTTGTTTATATTTTTAACAAATGATTCTGTTAGGTTAATTTAATTTTTTTAAAATTTTCGCTGATAAAGTCACCGACTATACAGCTTACATTTTTAATTTTATTGTTTTAATCAAATTTTGTATAAATGTATAAATGAATAGTGCCCTTCAAAAAGGGCACTATTCTTCATATATGCTTGTTTTAACACCAAAAGACATCAAGAAAAATTTGATTTTGATGCGATATCATTTGTGGAAGCTACGTGTTTATTTGTGAAAATCTTGTTTTTTCTAAAATGTCTCAGTTCTGTTCAAAACACTGTTTCAGATATTAACTGTTTTAAATATTTATTTATGTCCAAAAAATTTTTTTGGTAGTGCTTTGAAGTGTTTTGAGGTGCTTTTATCCAATGAAATTAAAAAAACCCCAAATTTAATGTCTTTTTTTGATTATTTTTCGTAAAAAGAATTTTGATAACTATCCTTGCCCCAATTTTTAATTTTCCGCTAATATCTCGAAGGTATTGCAATCTACAGCAAAATAATGTATTACAAAATTGTAGCTAAATAAACAGGCTTTCGAACGATACTATTCTTTTTCCGATGCCTGTTGAATTTTAGCTACTAGATCCAAAAATGTCTTACCTAACTATCCTTACCCCATCCTCCCCTACTCTTAACTTCTATAATAGTTAAAAAAAAAATTTCTTCTTAGAAATTTTATAATTTGGAACATTTTTACTTTTGGATATTTTGAGCTTTGGAAATTTTTCTACTTTGGAAAAATAAATTTTGGATTTTTTAAATTTGGAACTTATTTTGTTTTGGAACTCTTGTTACCCAAGTCGAAAATAATATTAGTAGAAGAGTAATATTTTCAAATCAAGTATATAAAATTGTAGATGATTTCAGAAGAAGATTAAAATGTATTTTTACACTCTACCTAAAACTATTTGTATTTTTATGAACACTAAACAATTATATTTTCGAAGTAAAAAAAAAAAAAAAAAAAAAACTCCACAAGACGTTTCTCACTATATATGGTGTTTGATAGCGTGCTGACGTCAGTAAAAAACAGCAATCTCCCTGAATCTCCCCATTTAGTATTAACGTTACTCAGCACATGATTCTTTATCGCTCCTTATCCTTATGACCTTAGTGTAGCGTTCTAAGTGCCAAGTTATCCCAAGATTTTACACGTGAACACTTTCGATCGTTTTCTGCACGGAACGTATATACAAGATATTCCAAATCGAGTTCGTGTGGCCGCGTTTATCGTAGTAGGATAGAAGGTCGCGAATACAATATAAAAATTTACTTTTATACACTATTCTATATATTTACGCGATCTTTCTATATTGGTATTGGTTCTTTGATGTATATTTATATATATATATATATGAAAAAAAAAAGAAAAAGTGCCTCGCGCAAGAAAAAATGTGCCAATGAAACAAGAATGAGGACCTCCCTTTCATCATAAATATAGCTTATTTCCATATACAAGCAACATTGATTCAGCGGCTTTACAAGTATCGACGCTAACCGACGATTGTCAAGTCACGTTCCTTCAAGAAGTCAGGCTCTTCTGACTAGCACTGGGGGCTCGAAAGAAAAATAGGATAAGGGCATCAGAAAGTGGAGCAGAAAAAAGAAATTTTTTTTTTCTCTCGAAAATACCAATTTCCTTTTATTACAATAATAATTCAATATTGCAATTTTATTCTATGGCAAAGCAATGTGCAACTTTTCATTATTCTTTTAACAGTTATCTTTTTTTTATAAATATTCTCAGGACGCATGAATAAGCTTTAAAATTAATTTGTTAGAATTTTTATTTGACAGAATTTCATTATATCTAGAATTTATTTTTAGCCGAATTTTTATTTCTTCGAATTATTTATTATAGAAATTCAATTTAACCGAATTTCTATATTGCAGAATTGTTAAACGAATTTTCATATTACAGTTTTTTTATATTATCGGCATTGGAATAAAAGAATTATTATATTTATTCGAATGTTCATTAAATAGAATTGCGTCATTTAAAAGAATTTTTATTTTACAGAAAGAATATTCTTTTCTAGACAAATTTGGATTTGTTCGAATTTACATTTTATAGAATTCTTAAGAGGAGGCACCACCCCCTAATTTTGACCCACTTAAATTTAAATTATTAAACGAGGTCAATTTTTTTCCACACTTTTTTAATGATTCTTAAGAATCTCTCGCATTGGATTTTCAAAAATATTAATTTTTTCAAAAAATTCTAAAATGGTAAAAAATTAAAATTTTCTTTTTTTGACCACCTTATGATGCAAAAAAATATATAACCTCGTTTACTAATTTAAATTTAAGTGGGTCAACATTGAGGATGGTGCCTCCCCTTAAAATGAGGAATTTTTATTTTACAAAAATTTCATTTGTTCGAATAAGAATCTGTCAGAAAAATTTACGCCGAAATCTCTCTGTCAATTGTTTGTCGGACATTTGCAATTTTGGACAAATGAAAATTCGGCGTTTTAAAAATTCTGTAAAATGTAAATTCGAACACATCAAAAAATGGCTACAGAATAGAATTCTTTCTTTAAAATAAAAATTATTTTAAATAAATAGATAAAAATTCTTTTAAATAATAATTAGGTCTTTTCAATCTAATATTTATTATTAATGGACGATTTTAATTTTTATGTTTAAAATTTTTACGTTTACTTTAAATTAATTTTTTGGGTCAGAATTTCTCAAAAAGATTCGATTATCTAAAATTAACAAATTTTTTTTACTCCTACTGTGATCAAAATAAGTTTTTGAAAATATTAGAACAAAAAAAAATTATTATTTAATAGTAATGTTGGACTCTATTTTGCGACGAAGATGTAAAATTGCTGAATGGTTTTTTTTTTTGGTTTCTTAGGGTTCTTAATTATATAATAATTTAATAAGTAACATTCTTTATTGAAAACAATGACAAATTCATACGTCACATTAAACGTAATTATTATATTCAAATAAATAATTATTATAAAATAATTTATAACTGTTTTTTATTAACATTTTATAAATAAATAATTTGAAAAATTAAAATGATAATTTTTTATAACAAAATCTATTTTTTGTTTTTCAATTTGTCAACTGGATGTCGAGAAATTTTTTTTGATCTAATATTTTTAGACACTTATTTAGATTACAGTAGAAGTAAAAAAAAACGATTTAACATTAAAATTTAATTACTTTTTGAAAATTTTAGATGCTTGAAAAATTTTGACTCTTGTAATAACAATTTTTAACATATAGAAATAAAAATAGTTTTATTTTAAATTTATCTCAGATTTTTTCTAGACTATATATGATAAAACTATAAATAAAACTTGAGTATTTTTGAATACTTTACTTTTTTTATTATGGGGTGTGGTAATAAATATAAGAAGATAAATTCATTGATCAACCACTAATGAAAAACCAATAATAAATATACGATAAAGCTATTGTATCATTAAGACAATTTTCCTTGATCTTTTTTTTTTATTTTAAGCTGAGTTGATTTTTATATTAATATATATCTATATATATACGCGAGAAAGGGGAATTTGAGTTTGATAATATGACAAATTGATATATTTTATCCTGATGACAAATTATTTTCGATAAGGTAAAAATTCTATTATTAAATCGTAACAAAAATGAATTAATCATATTATTATAATAAAATATCACTAATATAGTAAAAAAAATATAAAATTATTCATCAATTTTTATTTTTGTCATTTTATGATAATTTTTATTATTTTGAGAAAGAAAAATGTTTTTGTTGTATTAAGACAAACAATTCATTTATACATGAAATTAACTTTAATCTTGACTTTAAAATATTTATCGTAAATGGTTGAATTTTCGCCTATAAAATGTAAAAGTTAAAAATATTTATTTAAAAATTATAAACTCAAAATTTATATTTTTTAAAATTATTTTATTATAATAATTAAAGAATAAATTATTTCTCATTAAAGTTTGATGTTTTACTAGTGTGTATATATAATTATTGACAAAAATTTAATAAACATTAAACACATTTTTTAATGAACCTGTTTTGGATATTAAAATTTTTAATATCCCTTCACTTTCAAGTGGAATTAGAAAAACAATTTTTTAATTAAGAAACATTTGATTCGAGTAAAGTTTATAGTAAAAAAAAATTTCTCTTTTAGTGATTTTCACTATAATTACGTTAGAGATTCATGTACAGGACATCGCTATACTTGGTTTAAAAAGTTTTTACTAAAAGCTTTAACACATTACATAGAAAAAGATTCACTGACATGAAACTTTTTCTCTCAAGAAATATCCTGAGTATAGAAACATATTTACAAGGAAAATTCTTTTGATTGTAGAAAATGAAAATTTTTTAAACAATAGGAAAATTTAGATTCGAAAAAGTAATTATCATTTTTTTTATCAGTTGAATTATGACACAAGATAATAATATCGAAAGAATTTTTTTTGATTTCTAAAATTTTCCATTAAAAATTTTTAGAAATTTAATAATTTCATTTATAACTCTCCTGAAATTAAATTATTTTTAATGATTTTTATAATATTCTTCAAAAATTCAACTATCTGAAACCTTTTTTCACTTAAAATGTTTTCAAATTATTGTATTTTTATCTGAAATTTCTAATAAACAGAAATCATCAAAAAAATTTAATTAAAAATCACTTGAAGTTCAAATAATTTCAAAAATCTAAATTGTAAATTTTTGAAAATTCAATTACTTTTAAAAAATGTTATTTAAAATTATTTGATATAAATTATTTTTAGTTCTGTAAAATTAAACTATATTATTTATATAACTCTTCCAAAATTATTATTTGAAAAAAATTTTTATTTAAAAATCTGTAAAACTTGATTAAGTATTGCCTGAAATTTTTTTGACCATCAAAACTAAAAACTATGAAAAAATGTTTAATTCGAATAAATTGTTTAAATAAGGCTTGAAAATATTATAAAAATGGAACTTTAATAATTTTTTTCAAAATTTGTCCTGCTTAAATAAAATTTTGAAAATTTTTTTTACAATTATTTCGATTCTGAAATATTCGAAATAAATTTTCTTGATAATTTTATAATATTCTTATTGCATAATTAATAAAATGAATTTAATATCTAATAACATAAGTTATTTTTAAAGAAAAATATTTATTAACCAATTAAATTTTAATAAAATAAAAAAATCGACTTTTTTGACTTGTTTTGGAATATAAATCGACTAAAATGACTTCTTTTATGCCTTAAAGTCGATCCGAGGTCTGCGATTATATTATCATATATTTTTTCGATTTAGGAATAACAGTTGAAATTGATCAAGAATAATATTCTTTTCACATTAAGTGAACAAAACTAGCGGCCATTTTTGACATGAGTGCCACTCTGGAATATATCCGTTAAATTGACAAAGATGCTGGCATTTATCACCAAAAATATTGAACAATCGAAGAAACTGTACAATATATACAATTTGGCTTGATGCTGCCAAGTTTTTTCGTGGAATACTTCCAGAAGAAATAGAGGACGCAGGAAAAAGTTTGCCTTACATTGCCGAATAAAACAGTTTTCCTATAATAATAAATCCCTGAGTTATTATTATTATCACAGCGAACACGCGATATCTGTAGGTATCTATATAGTAATAATACGATAACATCGTCGTCTATATGCGAAACTATTAATACTTATCCAGAAAATTAATATTTATGGCAATTTATTACAATATTTTCCTTCAATAATCCAATTTCCTCGTTTCTCCCTTTCTTGTATGCTTCGTATAAAGCTTTTTATAATTATTACAAGATTTGATTAAAAAAAAAATTTTTTGTTTTTTTCTCGATTTTTCTTTATTTTTCAAAATAAAAATTTTTTTTTAACGAATTATTTAGACAAAAATAATCATCAGGCCCACTGTAAAACTTTTTGCAAAATATTCTTAGTATTTCTAGATATGTACAAATAAAAAAAAAAGTAAAAAAAATCGTACTCAAAGTTAAAAAAAAACATAATTTGTTTATACAAAAACATTATTTTTTTATATAAAAAAATTACAAAAAAAAATTTTTTTTTCGTTAACATATTACGAAAGCCGATGAAAAACTGTAACTTTTTCTCTCTTGGCAAAAATTTCTAAATTCAATTCCTTTAGAGTTAAACGTCCTTAAAATATAGATTTACTTTTAAAAAAACTCGAAAAACACAGATTTTTTAAAATTCATAACTCGAAAATTTGCTGAAAAAATACGTATACCACTTTTTTTTCCACAAGAACGAAGAGAAATATATTTATCCGAATTTAAAATGCCCATAAGTAAATTTCACGTGGAATCGCCCATATATGTACATTTTATAACCCATAAAAATTGGTTTTATTATAATAATTAAAACAATCAATATATCTTCTTTTTGCAAGAAACAATAACACATGTATTAAAAAATGTTTATGCATATTTCTGTCTCCATAAAGTAGTTAATTATCTATATTTACTTTATTGTAGGTAATTTATCGTTTAATTTAATAAAAATAAAATGTTCATAAATGGGAGAATCCACGGAACTGTAAGATTTAATGATATAAATATAAAGAAAATTAAATTGCAATTACACATTTTATTTATGAGTATGTATATATATATGTGAGAAATAAATTCAGGAACTATAGGTATAATTTTTTTTATATGAGTGAACCATTTTTATTTAATGCTGAAGAAATTATAATTAAAAAACTTTTTCAAAATTTTATTTGTCATGTTTTTTTTTATATTTATCTTTATCTTCAATATTTAAAAATATAAAAAAAATATTCTGTATGCTGTGTAGTTTTTAACAAATTTTGATGTGATTTTTTAGTCAGCTTAACATATTTTTAAATAATTTAATATATTTTTGATAGCGTTAACATTTAGCAATTACACCCAGAGAAATGATTTATTTGAACCAAATAATATATATTTGAGTTAAATAAACGTATATTTGTCTCAGAGCCTACTGACTTATTTATTTGTCGTAAATAAAAATTTTATTTGTCAGAAATAAATTTTTCTTTGGCTCAAATAAATTTTTTATTTCAATGAAATAAAATATATTTGAAACAAATAAATGAGTTAGTAGGCTCGGAGACAAATATACCATTTCTCTGAGTGTATATATATATTGAAATATTGAGAATACTTTTTTTTGGGTGTATAATAAAAAAAACTACTTAAACATACTTTTCGTTTTTTTTCTTAGCCTTTAACACGGGCCTTGAAAGGTGAGAGGAGGAACTATTTTGTCTTTATAACGAAAAACTTAGTTCATATTATAATCAAACTGCGGGACACATAATATATGTAACGCTCCACGAGAAAAGGTAAAAAATGGGAAAAAAAATTGTAGGTTATGTTTGTGATTTTTAAAGTAAAAATACATATCAAAAGAATCAAATATATTTATGTTTGTATTCATTACATTTGAAAAATGCAATAAAAACTGTTTTTTGATTTTACCTATAATTAATTAGAAACTTTTTATCAAAGTAAAACTGTAACTAAACATAACCTAAAATTACTTTACAATAAGGTCCCATTTTCTCGTGGAGTGTTTATGAAGACGGAAAAAAAATATTCTGAGAGGAAGATTCATTTTCTAAACTCCTTTTCACAATCTTATAGAGAGTTTTATTATATAAAATTCATCAAATTAGACTTAATAAAAGTAATTAAAAAATATGAAAATATTTCTGTTAGAGGAAAGAAACAGGATTTTCTCTGTCATAAAAACTTAATAAACTTTGCAATTAGCCGCAAAAAATATATATAGGCGCTGTAGATTGGAAATATTGTAGATAGGTATAATAATAATTTTCAGTTGTAAATTCTAAGAAATGGAAAATATTACTCAACTTCCGGATTTAATTAAAAATTACTCTAAAGTTTCAAAAGTGTAATATTACTTTATTCAATCATTAAATAGGATTATCAAAAAGTTTAAAAAAAATATGATGAGAATGTAAAAAAAAGTAAGAATATTTATGGAAAATAAAATTATTTTCTTTTTGTTTATTATTTAAAAAGTAAAACCTCCATGAAGTTGGCGTCGACGCTCAGCGTCGAAAATTATTTTTCATGAGACCAAAAATATCAAAACATTTTTTAAAAAGGTTTAGGGTTTATACAATGTCTTAAGAAGTATTTTTCAAGGTATTATTTGGATTGAAAAATAAAAAAAAGGGAATTTGAAATTTTTGATTCTACGAAAAACAATTTTTGGCGCTGAGCGTCGAAGCCAACTTCAGGGAGGTAAAGTAAAAATATATAAAATATAATAAAATTATAATTATAATTTATTGTATTAAAATAAAAAATTTTCTATGAATACGCAGTAAATTAATATTCTTAAGTTTACATAAAATAATAATATTAATTAATCTTGTATGTCATTTTTATTCCTTTTTTTAAATCATTTTCTAGCTATGTTTTTATAAATATATAAATTAAATTTGTATTGAACAAAGGATTAAATAAAATTGTTCTTTGGGATCGTAGACAAACTACGCGACGTAGTTTGTGAATGATCCTTTTTAGTTGATTGCTAATAAAAAAAATAATTTCTCCAAATAAGACATTTTTTTAAGAATAAATTTTTTGTTAAAATAATATTATAAATATCTCAATATCACTGATATATTACAATGTTTTTGACTTGTCAAGAAAATTTTAGCTGAATCTTCAATTAAGTATATTTTTTACACAGGAAAACCTGCGAAGAATATTTAAATTTGAAATCATGTGACCCAATAGTCACATGGCCTTAATAGGATTGAGTACACTGGAAACAAATGAACTTTGTATATTGAATTAATTTGTATGTTACAACATTTATTGAATTCATGGTCACCTGTCTAATGATAGGTAACCGAACTTGTATTACGCAAACGAATGATTGCCCTTCACAAAACAAGTGTTCCATTCAATTAAGAATTTCAAAAAAAAATATGCCATTTTATTTTTAATGACTTATGAAACTATTAAATACTACTTTCATATATTAAGTTTTGAAACACTAAATTCATTATTTATATTCACATAGCTCTAGACTTATAGAAAAATAATGTATATATACATTACAGAAAAAACCTAGTCTCATTTTTGTTGCAAGCCAAAATGAGTCAATGCTAAACGACACAGAAAGTGGCGCCACCAACCTGGTTCATTTTTGTTGCACATCAAAATGAGCCGCCTACACGACTCATTCTGAGTTCAGTTTTTTTCTGTGTGTAACTCCATTTTCAAGTTTTGCTTCCTCTGACTTCAATTTACATTCTCAATTTCATTTTCACTTTCACTGATTAAAAAATAAATGAAAGTGAATATGAAATTGAGAGTGAAAATTAGGAGCGCATGAATATTCCCCAATTAACATTTAATTGAAACGCATATAACAGAATTGTTATTTGACCGACTTGACATGTAACAAATGACCGACCGATGACTGACCGACTTTTTTCGGCGAAAATTTCAAATTTGTCCAATTAAAATTTGTCATTAAAATTGTATTTTGTCAATTTTAAAATTCGTGCCGAAAAAAGTCGGTTAAATGACAATTCTGTTAACGTCATGTCGGTCAAATGACAATTCTGTTACATATCACACTGAGAAAAATGTTCAGTCAGAGCAACCAAAATTTGGTTGGGCCAACCAAAAATTTTTGTTGGTATTTAAGCAACCAAACTATTTGTTGGTTGAGTGTTTTTTGTTTACAAATCAAAAATTTTTTGTTAGGTCAACAAAAATGTTTGGTTGATCAAACCAACAGTATTTTTTGGTAAAATTAAATATTTGATTCTACCTTATTTCTTTTCATTTTATCATTTTTATTTGTTTATTATCAATTTAACGTTTAATTTATATTTATCCAATTGAAATATTTGTGGACTTTGAAAAATCTCATCTCCGCCTGGGATCGAACCTATGTTTTTAAATTACGAGTCGAGAGCTCTGACCACTGAACTATCCATCCTTGTGAGAGATTTAAACTAATTGTTCTCTGAGAGCGAATTAAATTATTTGGTTGTCGTAAACAAATTTCGGTTAGGACAACAAACGATCATTTAGTTTTTTAGATCAAACTATTTTGTTGTGTTAATCAAATTATTTTCTTGTCATAACCAAAGTTTGGTTCGGTTAAATGTCAATTGGGGAATATTCATGCGCCTCGTGGAAGTTAAAGGGAAAGAGAAAATTAAATTCAGTGGAGGTGGAAGTGAAATTAGGATGTACTTTAGAATCAGTGAAAGTAAAAGTTAAAATGAAATTACATAATCGAAATCATCAGGGTAAATATAAACTTTCATTTGACTATTATATTTCTTTTATTTTAGAACAAAAAAAAATGCGACTGACCGTTTAATAAAAATTGAAGATTTTATTTTTGAAGTCTAAAATGTGTAGAAGAAAAATAGCTTAAGAGACCCTGAGGTTAACTCGAGACCCGTAAACTTGAATTTTATCGGTGGCTTTTAGCCAAGGACTCGGTGCAGTGTGCAATTCAGGAGTAAACTAGCTGAACTTAGGGTAAATATATCAATTGTTGCGAATGCTAACAAAAAATTATTAAAATATATATAACTGTTGTAAAAGTGAAAAATTTGTCCTATTATATATAATTGCAAAAGTGAAAAGAAAATTATTTTTAAAAAAACATTGTTAAGAATTTCAAAAATTGAAAAATATATATTCAATCTTAATAACTTTTCGCGACGCTCGCGGAAAAAAAACAGAAACAAAAATGTAAAATTTAATTTATTTGACGGATTAACGCGGATCAAAGTGACAGGAATATCCCATCGTATATCTTTTATAATTAATTTCAGTCTCAACAGATTTTACTATTCTGTTTCGGTTGAATATTGAAAAATTAATCTAAGTGGATTTATCATGTTTTCACTCGCTTTA